CTAATCCCCAGTGCTACATAGAAGAAAAGAACCATTTGTATATTACAGTGTAATCACAATATCTACTAATTTCCTCCGATACACTACAGGCCTCTTTTGAGAGGAGATTGCTGGCATTATCCCCATTTTATAAATTAGGAGCCTTACAGTACAGCAAAATGATTTCACAGGAACTGAGAGTTACTGATAAAGTGGAGCCTGATATCAGTGAAGCTGATAAAGGAAGAATAAAACTCAGTTATCCTAAATTCTCAGCACAGTTCACTCTCTGCAAGATTCAGTGCCCATTTGCATCTGGGATTATGACAGAAGTCTGCAGCAAACCTTTTCCCCCTGCATTTCTAACTAATTTATTTTCTAATTTTCTTAATATCACCACACACCGAAGTGAATAATTACAAAATTGCTTGTTTCTGTATGTTGTGTCCACAAGGACATAACAAGGACATTTCAGTGGTGACACAAAATAAGATTGACTTCAAATAAGAGTTCAAGCACTCCCCTTTTTTAAAAAACATCTCATGGACTCATTTTGGCGCTTTCACAAAGTGAGACACAAATCTCCATGGATTGATGGGAATGCAGTGGTTGTAAAAGCCCTGCAGACCTTCAAGGCTTCATAGCTCTTTATCCCACATTGATTCTCCAAGGAGCATCTGCCTACTGGTGTTCTATTTCAGACACTTATGCCATGCCCCAGTCCTGGCCATAGGTCTCCTCTTTTTCCAGTAACTAAAGCTATTGTACCACAGGGTGAGAATAGAGGGCTTTTTCTTGTAAATTAAGGACAGTTGTAAGACCCTTATCCTCATTTCATTCCTTATAGAGGCAAGGTTTTTGGGATATTTTGACCTTCTGATAGGATTCAGAAGCTGGATTAAGAATCAGATAACAAAATCCTGGCAGGAATGTAGAGATTTGCCTGCTCCTCCTACTCCAAAGAGAATAAACCAAATGAGAAAGGCAGAACTTACTGTGTCTTATGTGTGTGGACAGTGAGATTTCCATAAGATTTTCAAATTGTGTCTTGACCTAGCTAGAACTAAATATACACTTTTCCCTTTGACATATTTGTGTGTTTGTTTGCTTTCCCAGTCCTCGCTGCTCCACGACTCCTTAAATTGGATAGATTAAAACCTTTCATAACCTATAATCTATAAGCAAGTCTTTCATTAGTTGATCTCCTCCTGCACTTAGTCAAATGTCACTTTTTCTTTTTCCTGAAGAAAAGCTAGAATCAAATTTAGACCTGTATTCCTCTTTTGTGATAAGAAGTTTTGTGATTGTCCATCTGCCCTGAAGAGCAGGTGGCCAATATCAAGCTTGTTGCTTCAAGATACCACAACTGTTAAGTATGTTTGCTTAACCATACTTATGGTTAAGTATGTTTGCTATCTGAGGGCTTGCAAGTGAACACCAGGATCTTCTGCGTTCCTAAAGCCAACAGCTTTAAAAAGCTATTTTTGAATTTTAATGCACCAGATCCTTGCTATTTGAAACCAACTTTCTGTGTTTAGGTGATGAGTGGACTGAACAAAGCCTTGCAAGATCTCTGCCTAGACTCAGTTCTTTTGGCCCCTGGTAGATTTATGGCAGCTCTGTGCTATTGAGCCCCAGACTTAAGGACATGGTGGTCCATAATTAATGGCACTGCACATATGGAGCAGCCATGAAGAGACATCTCCTTTGAGGCAGAAAAGCAAAGATTGCAGTGGCATCTTGCAGCTACCTGTGTTGGGGACAATCAAAGAAAGAGTCATCAATATCCCAGAATGAAAATGTGTCTGCATCGATTTTAGATGTGGGGAATGTTAAGAGATTTCATCCATCATATCTGACTGGCAGAATGTTTGGGGAGGGTAGAGCAATACATGGAGCCATGCCAAAATACTCTTAAAATTTGGCAAGTTTAAAAGAACACAACTTCCTTCCCTTTAAGATAGAAAAATGAGTCTGAAATTAATTACTTAACTCCTAATACTCCTGAAATTGCTGCTTATTCCTATGTTTAGCTGTTCCTTAGCAGAATAATCTGAATATTTTACAAGAACATTTAAAGTTTATTTTCAGAAACACTCAAAATTGTTTATTTTAGATGTGTATGGAGAGTTGATTGCTTTTTCCTTAATTGAGATTATAACTGTAATCTTTTAAAAACACACTAGTCCCAATATTATCACAGATGTAGCTTCCAGGATTCATTGCATTTAGAAATTACTCAAATTCTTTCAAAGGCTAAGATGAAGTTTTCATTATAGCACATTTCAACACAGTTAACTTGTCTAAGTTTTAGAACTAGTTATGGCCTATCTTCTGTACATTTACAAATGGATTGACTATATATTTCTTGCCACTATTCACTACCCGCCAGTCCTTGAAATATTCTAAGCAGTTACATTTCCTTGAAAGCCTGTGTGTAATTGTGTTTGAAGAAAGCAAGTTGTAAATGATTTGGACTATCAGTGTCCACTGAAATTGGGCATTGGAGTGTGAGGCTGAACAACTTTATTTCTACTTGTTCCTAATGAGGTTTTACAGTGAAATGACTTCTGAATGATGTAAAAAAATCCAGAGTTTTTTAAAGTTACATATAAAATTTATATATATATATATATTTATTTTTTTTTGTATGTTCATTTCCTTTTTAAAAAGAGCCACATCCTTACCTGGGGCCAGACTGAAGGGTTGTGTAAGTGGTGAGAAAGCCTACATGCAAAGACAAGTGCAAAGCTCTAAAGTGTGTAAAGCCAGGTGTTTGCTGCTTGCTTGGAGACTGTGGTCTTTCTTATCTCTGTGCTTCACCTGTGCAAAGCCAAAGGAACCATTCTAACAAGTGGTGTTTTAGTCCTGTTTTTCCAAAGGTTATGACCCAAATCCAAGACCCAGCTTGTGGGGCTGACTACTCTTTCTGCTAACAGCACAACTTGTTTGTAATGAGGTTTTACAGTGAAATGACTTCTGAATGACTTAACAACTACAGAATTGTTTAAGTTTTGGTCTGGGAGTGGTGGTGAAAACTGAAATACAGCACTACAGAAGGAGATAGGAAGCAACTGGTGAAACTATTCAGAGGTTTAAAATCAAATGTTTGACAATCAATAGTATTCTGTTATTCCATATATCATCCTTAGTGTGTGCACATATACTTGAACAATTCAACAAAGTGCAATCTGCTGTAAGCAGAGGTGTTCTATTCACAGAGCCACAGGCAGAGCAGAACAATTAGAAATAGCTTGAGACCAAATATTTCAACTTTTGGAACAATTTTAGCAACAGTGTCTGGAGTGTTTCATGAGGGTTGCTTTATGACCTCTCGGCTCATTCTGAATAGCTCATCTATATCTGTGTCAAACAGCTACATTGGGATGATAAATGTGCCTAGAATTTCAAATACAACATTGAGTAAACCTGCCATATGATGTTTATATTACAAATGTCTCTCACCTATATTTCTTTTCCCTACAGAGTTTTTTATGGTGTTTGTTTGCTTTTTAAAAAGGAGCCACATCCTCGCCTGTGGCCAGACTGAAGGGTTGAGTAAGTGGCGTGAATTCATAAATGCAAAGATGACCAGAAAATCATCTTTGCAGTGCCTTGACATTGCTGCTTCTCTGTGCAGGTCTGTTCCCTCCCACTGCACAGAAGGTGCTGTGCAGAGCTGATTTGTGCTGGCTGTGGCAATGATTTGAGGCTAAAGAAGCCTGGTGTTCTACAAGGAATCTGCCTTGTCCCTGTGCCCAGGCTTTACCCTCCCAAATAATCAAACCAGCTCACTGTGTGCTCTAAGTGCCTGTAGGACTGCGTCGTTGCTGGTGCAAAAGACCTGCAGATCTAAGTCATAATTAATGGCTGTTTTAATTTCAGCTTTTTTTCTCTCACCCAAGCCTGTAATGTAGCAGTAATGAGAAACATGCATGAGGTATCTCTCTGGTGTTATTCTTGGCTACCTACCAGGCACCAAATCTGGGATTCTCCACTCTGTTCTGCTAATGTGCTGCAATTTTCACTGGTTTGAAATGGGGGTAGACCATATTCATTCCCATCTGCTAATTTTGAATATTAGTGATGCTCTAAGATTGCATGAGTTCAAGTGACTGCTTAAGTGTTATGGCAGCGAAGAATAATGTCCATAAATGTCCCAACTTGGAGCACAGCTTTAGCCTAGCTATTTGTTTTTTTGGGAATGGATTTATACATGAGTAGAAATTTTTATTTTTAAGAAACCTTCTTATTTCCATACCTATATCTTCCTACCTATCCTCACACTTCCACAGCCCATACTGCCACTGCCAGCATTCCTTTTTCACTCACACAGGAGAAGGTGTTGCAGTGATAAATTTCTGGCAAAGATGATGATGGTAGCATCATTTTTAGGAGATATTTCCCACAGTGAGTAGTAGGAGGATGAGGAAAGTAAGTGGGAGAGTGGAGAAAAAGAGAGATATGGCTGCCTGCCTTTCATTCTCAGTCAATGAGAAAACTAAGTGTAGACCCTTGCCTTCACAAGGTAAGTAACCTGCTGATGTTAGACAGTAAATGTTCAGGCACCTGTGATGTGACAACTGCCATGTTGAGACTCAGCAAACAAAAGGGTCATTTGCATACTCAGAAAGAACTGCTCTTTGTATGCTTTTGTTCTGAGTTATTTGTTCAATTTTGAATATATTTCAGATTAGGACAGATGCAAGTGAGGAGAAAAAGAACCCCCAGTTTAGTTCAGTCTGCTTTTTCTTAGTCCCTTTATTGCACAGTTGAGAGCTGGCTCTCAAAACTTGCGTGTTACTGAATGCTGAGATGTTGAATCCTCAGGAGCTGGGAAGCTGGAATGATTATTTGAATTTTATGACTGAATTTTATGGCTCCTCTCTGCCAGTACTTGGAACAGTTAATATCACATTGTTCTAATCTCTGTTCTTTCTTTTACCTCATGTCAAGGTAATCAATTGTCAATAACCAATTCTTTTTTCTTTTTCTTTCTTTTTTTTTATTTTTATTTCAAGGATGATACCAGCTACAAACAAGGCCTTTGTTGTAACCAACCTTGTTTCTGGAACAGGCTATGACCTCTGCGTCCTGGCAATGTGGGATGACACGGCCACAACCCTTACTGCCACCAATATTGTGGGATGTGCCCAGTTCTTCACCAAGGAAGACTACCCTCAGTGCCAGTCGATGCACAGTCAGTTCTTGGGTGGGACCATGATTCTGATCATTGGGGGCATCATTGTGGCCACTCTGTTGGTGTTTATTGTAATTCTCATGGTCCGCTATAAGGTCTGCAGCAATTCCCAGGGCAAGATGTCCAACGTCAGCAATGTCTACTCGCAGACGAACGGAGCACAACCGGTTCAGAACGGAGTCTTGCCCCAAGTCAATCCCAAAGTGGTGGTGAGAAATGAACTGATGGAGTTTAACTGTCAGTCTGCACGGAGCAGCATCTCCTCGTCCTCCAGCTCTGCAAATAGCCGTGACTGTGACAACTACAGCCTCCAAAGTGAACAGGGCACATTGTCCAGTAAATGGAGGCCTCCTTCCCGGTCAAAACACAATATTGACCGGCTAATGGGAGCTTTTGCCTCCCTGGAACTGAAATGTCAGAAAAAGGAGGAGATGACAGACTCCAGAACTTCCACGGTGGCCCGCCACACGGACAAAGAGCCACTGCTGGGCCAGACAGAGTCCAAATTCCGCAGCTTCCTCATGTTGCCTCTGGAGGGCAAAACTAAACGTAGCCATTCTTTTGACATGGGGGACTTTGCCACATCTCAGTGTTGCACCTACCCAAAAAAGATAACAAACATTTGGACAAAGAGGAGCCTCTCGGTCAACGGCATGCTTTTGCAGTATGATGACAATGACCTAACAGGGGCCAAAGGGACTTTTGGGAGCTCAGAGTGGGTAATGGAAAGCACGGTGTAAATATCAGCGTCTCCCCGCTTCTCTTCTCCCCTCATGTGTTATAAAGCACGGTTTGCTTCAGGGCCGTGCAATTGGAAAGAGAGGGGAGGAAACATTTTCTGTTGTACTGGCCAAAAAGATAGGCAAGCAAGTTACAGGAATAGTAAAAGAGAAAGAGGGTCATGAAATGTGAATCGGCACATATGGTACCATTCCTGTCTGGCCCCAACTAAACCATGCGTGAATGTTTCAAGGAATTTGCTAGTTGTATTTAGCATTGCTTTCCAAAAGTTACTCAGACTCCTGGTGAACTTTCACACAAGATTAAACAAGGAGGATGAAAAGGGATTTAACAGCAGAAATTTAATTTTACAGGGTTTCTTTTTACTTTCTTTGTTTTTGTTTTAATGGCACCTCTTTTTTTTGTTGTTGTTTTTTTTTGTTTGTTTGTTTTTAACCACAGAAATACACTTCTGTGGATAATACTGGTGCTAGGATATATCTGGTTGTCATTCCAAGGAATTTTCTCAAAAGTGCAGGCAGGGCACCCACAGGGGCAGATCAGACTAAATTGTTCAGCATAATCTCATGGTCTTAACTGTGAAATCAGGGCAAACTGTATTTGCTGTTGAATGGACTTTTGTTTGGTATTTAACTATTTCTCTTCTGTTTTGATTTGTTACTGCTTTTGAGTTGCTTTTTTCCCACAACACAAGGTAAGTTTCCATGCATATTTTGTTTTGTTTTCAGCCTCATCAAATCCCCCAGATGGAAAGGAGGATATGTGTAAAGGTGAAATATCTGATGTACTGTATAACCCACTTCTAATACCATCCCTTTTTGTCCCAGGGAAAATTGAATCTAGGGACAAATAATTAAAAAAAAAACAATCATTTTTCTTCCATCTCCTTCATAACCTCTTATTGTCAATGCTCAAGGCAGATTGCAGAAAATATCGATATCTGTAGGGATGCTGCTATCAAAGATGGGGAAAATAGTTATCAGCATACTCTAATAAAGGATAAAGAAAGGGAAAACTAAAGAAGCTCCTGGGAACTCTCCACATTATGGATAGGAGTGGCTTCTGGTAGGGGTCATGCTCTCACTCCACTAAAATGACAGACTGGCACCCTACTGTGACAAAAACTCCTTGTCTGTACGGTCACCATGGCATATCTTGACTGTATCAGTAACATCAGGCATATTAAGTTTCTGTATATTTCAGGGGATTGGTTATGTTCAAAATTAGCCACAGAAGCTGACTAAAATTTGGGTATCACAGAGGAGGGGATGTCCCATGTATCCCCTGCATTACATGAATCCCTTCCCCAGTCTGGTGCACTCCCCTGTCTCTCATCCTCAGGAAGACACTTATAACAGGAGCTCTTCAGAGTTTTTAAATGGATTCTCAAATTGGTTTTGGGGAGCATTGCTGTGATTGTAGGAATACACATGGCCCATCCAGCAGAATTAATTTTCCTTACCAATTTTACTGTGATTTCTAGCATTCTGCTGGCTACTGCAACTGTCCTGTCATTTGTTTATTTATTCATTTGACCAGCTGTTGGGAACCATTCTGAAATTGCACATTGTTACTATGATTTTGTAAAAGAGGTGGAGAAAGTATGCAAGGCACAGAGAAAATAACACATGAAAAAACTCTATGTATATTTTTTTTAAAGGTTCAGAGATATATTGTGACATGGCTGTGTACCTGATCTTGTATTCGTCATGTTTCCTACTTGGCGTTTTAGATAATGACATCCCTGTGATCAGAATATTTTTTCCTTTATTTTCTTTCTCTCTCTTTTTTTTTTTTTTTTTTTTTTTTTTTTTTTTTTTTTTTTTTTTTTTTTTTTTTTTTTGCTACAAAATGTACAGTAAAAAAATATCCTTGGGAAAAAAAAGTCCCTGCTTTTCATTTATTTGTTATTCTGTGGTCTGCTTTGAAACCTGAGAAATAATTATTTTTTAAATTATCTTTAAAATTTAGACATTTGCTTTTTCTTTCCCACAAAATGTCCTTGACTTCAGGATTTGGGGTATAAAGCAGGAATCAAGAAATACATACCTTTTTGGGATGCATGAAAAGAGATTTTGTAAAAGGCATTTCACCTCTTTTTCTGTTGTTACATTTATACAAGTCTATATTACTAGAGTACTCTAAACCCTGGTCTAAAATCTGCAGACAGAAGAGGTAGCAGTTTTAGACTTAGGACCTGACTTTCTGTCTGTTTTTGCTCAGATATTTGCACACCAACAGCATTAATAGATTCAAGAGAGATCCAGACAAACTTTGTTTGGAACATTTTTCAAACTCTCTGGTTTTCTCACACTTTCTGAGACGAATGACACCTCCAGTGCCAGAATCTACATAATCCAACTATCCAGATGGCAGTTCATATTAACCATTAATGACATGTACATTTATGTTGCACTGAAAACTCCTTAAGAAGTTCTTGTAGTGAGTGAGTAATATTCTTTGCCTTGTTCCACTGTGGTGCAGTTGGATTTTTTATGTTGCTACTTTACTCTGACCATGACATCTGGGTTGTTTTTAATTTAGACATTGAGTTCATCTTAAATATTAGGAACATATGCAGCCGTGAATTTTCAAAGTATATCACATACTCAAAGAGCAATACTCTTTTACATTCTCATATAAAATTAAAAGAAGTAAGCCAACAGATGCAGTTTTAAAATAATGGATAGTTGCCAAAGAACCAAGGTAATAAATTTCACACTCTAGCAGCTGCATTTATTATGGTTAATCATAATATTAATTCATTTAGCTGTAATGAATGAGGCTCAATCCACACCAGCTGATTTGCAAATACTGAGTAAAATTAAACAAGTGCTGGGCAATTACCTTTTTTGCTCACAGTACTTGAGAGGAAGAGGATTCAGGGACTCGGAGGTGAGGCAGGGAGTTAAGTCAGCAAGTAGCCAGCCCTCAGGAAGAGTTGGGGCTACTTATGGGTTGTGATCATCCTTTAAGTGCCATC